AAAAGTACTTATTTTTAATTTAAAACCTTTGGATTGCATAGCTTAATGTTTTCCACTAACTATTACAAAGTTTTTGTTCATTGAAATGTTGTTTTATCAGCTTTAAAACCAGATAAATACACGAAGCACTCCTATAAATATATGTCGCCATATTGATTTTTTCGCGCATGCTCCGTACAAAATGCCCAGCTGTTTTCCAGATATATATATATATATATATAGAGTTCACTGGTTATAGCGCATTTGAATTTCCCGCCAAATGAAGTATCGCGTTTACTTGTGTCCAGTCTCTTTGCCCGAGCTATGTATTGTCGAGATCTCGATTTTGTGTCTGTCTGAACCATTGAACTATAAATAAACTGGAAGGCTAACTCAGGGGGGGAAATTGAAGCCAGTGCATTTTAGTTTTTCTGAGTTATGAGCAGAAATACTCAACACTGAACGTTGGGCTATATATCAAATTGAAGCTATTGAAAAACTCTATTTGGTGCAGAAATTTCAAGACTTTAGCTAAAAGGGAAATATTGAAAAACTACAAACATAATTACCGATAATTTGCCGTTTTGCAGTTGTTTTTGTATTTTTTAAATATTTTTCTTTTCGCTGAAGTCTTGAAATTTCCACACAATTTTCAATAGCTTCAATTTGATATATAGCCCGACGTTTGGGGTCAAGTATTTCTGCTCATAACTCAGAAAAACTATTTTGGCTTCATCAAATCATAGGCCTTCATCATAGCAGTTAGCCTTCCAGTTTATTTATAGTTCAATGGTCTGAACAGCTGGGCATTCTGTTGTCGCTGTCTAAATATTGCGGGCGCATTTCTTTAACAAACATTTTGATTCTTCGAACGCTGAAAATATGCATTGTGAGAGGATTTTTTGTCCTCTTTTACTGGTTTGTTCATGGGAAATAAAGTGTTTCTTGAAAGATTAAGTTGTAGTGCTTGTACGCAACGATATAACGACTTAATCGCATGAAAACGTGCGAAGAATTTTTATTTACAAATGGGCGACAAGTGGAAATGTTTCACTCATTGTCAGAGTTTCAGAAGCAGGGTACAGCAGTATGGAAACAAGGAAGTGTTCATATTTTACTCTTGATAGAAGCTGAGTTGTTGTTGTTTCCACAGGTATGTTCAATAATTTGTTTGTTCTTCCTCATCTGGAATAATAAGTGTCTTAAAATACATATTTTGATGAAAATGACACATATTCCTCTTGCAATTTCGTAAAAACTGGCCGTTGCCTTCAGTTAGAAAATATATTTTATGAAAGTTAAATGATACTTTGTTTTATTAAAACCTGAGGTATTCATGGGAAAAATGTGCTAGATGTTGTAATTGACAAATCCACTTGTGAAGTGAAAATGTCATGTTGTCACATGCTTATGAAATTGCTCCTGTATTGGTTTGTTATAAAGTAAAAATTGCTGCAAAAATGATTTTGAAAATGTTCAAGTATTGGTTGTTATGAGATAAGAAATGCCGCATTGATTTGTTCAGTTTTAAGAGTCTAACGGCAATCCTGAATATAGGCATGCTTGCTTTGTGAAATTCTGTGGTGATATGGCATATAAATAAAAATATCTTAAAATTTTTACCATTGCCTCTCTCCGAAATATGGCTTAAAACTATCCTTATTAGTCAACCTTCATGGAAAAGTTAGTGGGTATGCTGGGAAAAATGCGCGCGGCACTTTTTTTGGACACTGAAGATGGTAACATTTGATGTTGTCATATATTGCCATCCTCTTATCATAGCATAACTTAACTTATTTTAGTGAGTTTGTTAAAGCATTGTGCTCACTATATGCCTGTAGTATCTAAGACTTTTTCATAGCATTATATGACAAATTTAAGTTGTGTTTTCTTTTATTTTTAGGTGATAGTATCTGTTCACTTGAGTGTTGGTATCAAATTTTGGACAAGTTTCAATTATTATTTCACATTCCTTTATTCAAATATCCAAATAAATGGAATATGACATCAAACTGGACGACTAGATTCTGTTTCCAAACTTGTTTTTGTAAAAATAGAAAATAACAACTTATTATGTGTTGTTCTAATAAAAACTATTGTTTTTGATATGCATATTTAATTTTTAAAATTACAGTCATTCTTTGCTAAAATGTGTACCAGGAATACTGAAATCTTTCAGATCAGCTACCAATTCCCTTTATAACTTATGTAGCCAACTGTTCTATCAATTTCTGTTCAGATTAAACAAATGATGGATAAAATATTAGTTTAGATTCTTTCAAAAAAAATGAGCTTGCCTATTTTGAAAGCATAAAAAGCAATAAAATAAAGCAAAAGTACTTATTTTTAATTTAAAACCTTTGGATTGCATAGCTTAATGTTTTCCACTAAATATTACAAAGTTTTTGTTCATTAAAATGTTGTTTTATCAGCTTTAAAACCAGATAAATACACGAAGCACTCCTATAAATATATGTCGCCATATTGATTTTTTCGCGCATGCTCCGTACAAAATGCCCAGCTGTTTGCAGAGAGTGGATGTGACATTGTGACTCAAATTGGCGAATCGGGTGTCCTGATGGAAAATAAGTTCACTTCAGTATTAAACTTCAGTATGATTTTCTCTCTATTTCAAAATTCAAATTGATTTTTAATACATTTTCTCACAACTGCTCCATCAACTGCAGACATTTGCCCACGGAAAACATGTTGTAACACTCTTGTAGGTAAATGTGAGGCTGCAGGGCTAAATCCAGTTGCTAATAAACATGCAAAAGAATGTGAAAGTGGCGTCCTTGGAGATGGCTGGTCGGTCCATTCCAGGTTCTCCCTGGGCTTTTGCAAATGACATGAGGAAAATGATCAACAAAAAGGAATTCAGGTTTTGTTGAAATGTTTTAAATTATAGTAGTTAGTTTGCACTGTATTGATAGAAATCGAAGCCATCAATCCAGATGGATATCATGGATATTGGAGCTTCATAGACTGCGCATGTTTCACCTTGTTGGGCAGTTAATTGGGACGTATCATTTAGAATGTGTTTGCCTGCCAATATGTGCACACATGCTTTTGCTTCAGCATGCTTGAGTTGTGCTGTTACTGCGGATTCAGGAAGACTGTTTAATGTGAACAATTACTGTGTGTCTTGCACATAGGCGTACGGGAAGAAAAAAATTAGGGGGGCGGAAAGAAATTTGTCCCACTTTTTTGGATTGTGCCCAAGTTGTTAAAAAAAATTTTCCGGAGAAACTTTCCAAAATTTTTGTTGACGGGAGGAGGGATGGAAAAGTTCGTATTAGATAGCATATTTCCCACAAATTGACAATTTGTCCATTTATTTTTATAATGAGCGAATTTATAATAAGCTTAATATTGCCCTAATTGACTTTGTTTGCCCAATAAACTAGCTGCCGCCTCACTCGTATGCCCATGTTGCAACCTGAGTTGCATACAAATATTATGTAGGCCAGAACATGATCTTTTTCTCACAGTACATGTATACTGCATTGTCAATCAACCTGCCAAACATCATAATGCAACTGTTGCTATGCACCTGATAATTATTAGCATTAAACAGTCTTCCCGAATCTGCAGTATGTTGCAAGACTATTGAAAATTACATGGCCGCGCATACTGCCAGGCAAATTTACATAACATTTTAAACAACTTAATACTTAAACAGTTTAATACCTGGCCGTCTCTTCAACTGGATTTTTGCAAAGTCCATTTCTGTTTACTTTTCTGAGGGGTTAAGACAGAAGAAAAAGGGAGAGAGAGCTTGGGTTAGGGAGAGATTTCAATTCTCCCCTCCTATCTTTATTGCTCTCCTCCTCTCCTATTTTTATTGCTCCTCTCCTATTTTTGTCACTTGCCTAATCACTTGTAGAAAACAGTATGAATTACGTGGACCTACTATTCTATTAAGTGGGTAATAATATTTAATAATAATAATAATTATTATTTATACTGTTAAATCCTAGCTTTCAGCTATAAGCTGGTATTAACAGGATGAACAGTATGGAAACTATTAACTATATATAAAATTAGAAATTAGTCTAGGTATATATACATCTAAATTCTAAACTATAAACTACATACATGATTATCATTGTCACAGTCTGAGAGGTATTTAAAGAGTGTCTGCTTAAATACAGCAATAGTATACCTTCTCGAATATGCATGGTAGGCAAAGAATTCCAGTCCTTTCAGCCAGTGTGAGCAAACATTGTTTTTCCCATTTTGGTTCGAACTTTTGGTAAGTCCAGTAATGTCTTATCTCGAAGTTCTCGGTGTCGAGCCACAATCATGCCACACATTAGAACAATAATCTAGAATAGGCAGTATGGTTTGCTTGTACATCTGAAGTAAGACAGGCATAGGAAGAAATAGAGAAATCCTGTTTTATTAACAAACTCAGTCTAGAGTGAGTTCTTTGACATAATCTGCCAATATGTAGTTCCCATGACAGACAACTACTAGCTAACACATGGTCCCAAATAGTCAAATTGTTCTACGACTTCATTACTGAGTTGGACACAAATCCTTTCTGCCTTCTTTAGCGCAGGTTTAGACCCAAGCTATCATTCTGTTTTGAGATAACCATTGGTCAACATTCATTACCGTAAACCTCAGAATATAAGCCCCCCCCCGAATATAACCCCCCCCCCGTGTATAAGCTCACCACATGTACTAACGCTCACTAGCTCATTCCACCCCTCATGAAAACCAGCGAATGCTGATGAGGCTAGCGTGACTAAATAAATGATTATGTATGTATGTATTCCAAATATAAGCCTCCCCCCCGAATATAAGCGCACCTGAATATAAGCCCACTTGTTTATCACTATTGTTTATCACTATTACCACTATTTATCATTGTACACTAACACAAAAAATCGTCCATGTATAAGCCCCCCATATAAGCCCTGTATAAGCCCATCGAAAATCGCTTACGAAATAATATAAACGCAGGGCTTATAGTCGGAGGTTTATGGTAAGTCATTATTAATCTTTGCTTGTGCCATCGCCAAGTCATAGTGTGAAAAATGAGTTTCAGTGTCACCAGCATACAAGACAGTGTTACACTCCTTGAAGCTGTGTATAATGGTATTGTAATATAAGCAAAAGAGTGTTGGGCTGAGTAATGAGTATTGACCCTTGAGGTATGCCAGTAGTTATGTATTCAAGGTCAGAATTAACGTTTGATAATTAGTTACATATTGCTGCCTACTTGACAAATAGGAATCAAACCACTTGATTGTGTTTTCACCAAAGCCGTAATCACATAGTCTCATTAAAAGCATGGAATGGTCAATAACGTCGAATGCTTTATGAAGATCTAGAAAAACGGCTACAGTATATTTTTTATTATCGACAGCCAATTTCCAGGAATCGACCACCTTAATTAATGCTGTAAATAATATGAACAATCAGGAATGGATTTACTGGGGGCCGTGTAGGGGTTGTGTACCCCTCCTAGCATTGGCAAAGGATCTAAGGGTGTGCTAATTTCCTTATCAAATGCATTTTTTGGATTTGGAGTTTAAAGCAACAGGTTTTTTGCAACAAATAATTGGTCACATAACCTTAAAATGTTTAAATGAACCCCAGAAATGAAATGAGCACCTCAATACTCAATAAATCCATCCCATACAAATCCTAAGAAAATTTAAAATTTTTAAATTGAATGGCATTAATATAAGCTGAAACTTTGCAATTTTATTAATAATGTAGGAATGGTGCTCTTTTCTTTTCTGGGGTTAATTTTGTCACACCCAGGTTTTAAAATAGCATTTCAAATTCATGCCTTGCCAGTCATTTTGACTGGTCACTTGGTAAAAGAACAAAAAAATTTATGAGAACAAATCCCTTTCTTCCTTTCGGACGAAAATCGCTGCTCACATTGATAGTTAAGGCAAATATATGCATCTGTAAATAGATTATTACCTCATATACTATATCTTATATCTTAATACTTAATATAATATTTTTATACTATATCTTACATTTTGTAAAAAGCTTTTAAATGCTTTGCATATTTGCTTTATACTTCTTCTTCACACGCCCCTCGTGGAAATTAGCTTTAGTTGACGAATCAATCTATCTAACAGCTGTTACAAACTTGAATGTATGGACACACGATGCCAGTAAGAGGAACCTGTTTGAATTTATCGACGTTTTAATTAAAGAGCGTCACGTAAAGTCAGAAAGGGTCCTACTAATTACTGCCCGAGACTGCCCGGGAACTGCCCGGGGACTGCCCGAGACTGACTGCCCGGGTAAACACCGTAACATAACGTTATTTATTATACAGTATGGTAAGGCAGTGTGCTCTTGTTTTAAAACGTTTAGTACATGTATAAAAGTTTTTTCAAAACAAAGCTACGTTGCTTGCAACCATTGACCGGCATTTTCCGCCGAAGTTCGTTTTTAAATTTTTATTTAAAACAGGAAAAACAAATTTTTCTCAAAAATGCTAGAAATTAGGTTAGGAATGTAAAGTATGTATACTAATTAAGGTAATTAGCGGAAACACCGTTTCCTTGGTATAATGACTTTGTTTTGGTAAAAATGGTCATGCATGTATTGCAGTGGCTTGCATGACTTTGTCTTTGTATAGTTACCATATCGCATGCTTCCATGCAATGGCAATGTTTTTTCTCTATATACTTTCCTTGATCGAATCCGATAATTTCTTCTCCATTCGTTATTAAAGTAAAATTGAATATTTAGACTTTAGTTAATTCAAATTTCATGCAGTAGATTGGAAGATGGTTACATAATTACTAATCTATAGCACATGACGGTAAATTTACGAATGTAGACTTCAGTAATGGGGCAATAATTGAGGGGGAAATGTTGCTCAATATATCACTATAGCTCAAAGATTTCACCCCACAACACGTTGTTTCCTTTTTTTTGAAAACGCCTTTTGTCATGGGATTATGGAATATTTGCATGATACAAAGCTACTAATGACATTCACGTCATTGATCATGACATCATCGCTGGATGAAAACCCGCTCATTAGCATTATAATAACCGGTGGGTATATAAATCCGATACAGTTTCTTAGACTGATTGTCTCATATCAACAAGCTTTGCTTTGGAGAACTATCAAACCTGTCAAACGGCAAAACATCCTCGTTGAAATCCGTTTTGTAAAAAATGCATATGGCTAGAAAATCTACTCGTGTTAACAAGCGCAAATGGCCATGTGGTACGTGCGGTCTTCAGTGCAATGACAACACTGTATTATGTGAAGGCTGTGGAGTGTGGCACCACGCAAAATGTGAGCGCCTTTCTCAAAACCATGTGAGCACGTTGAAGCGATTGATGGAAGATTATTTATGTTCGTCCTGTACGCATGTTCGTGGCAGTTACAACTTCTCAGCAGCCTTGGACCGCTTGGAGATCGCATCAAAGCTTGGAATGCTGGAAAGTGCTGTGAAAATGGAGCAGATTCTAATGCGTAATATATACACCCCCCAGAACAACCAACGCCGAAGAACTGCAGTTTGGAACTTCGCGGCTCGATATTGTAGCACAAGATATACTGAGAAAAGCTGGTGAGTCCTACTTTTAATATATTTGTCTCATTAGATAACCGCCGAAAATGATTTTATTGCATGTTACTATACTACTTACCTATTACGCACGTTTTCTATATAAAGTTATGTTACATTGCATAAGGTTATATTCACGTTGTATAAAGTTATACTATATTCTATAGATTTATGCTATGTTGTATAATGTTATGTTATACTTCTTCATATATATGTATATGCGGAGTGTTCTCTTTTTATTCACACCGAGAGCAAAAAATGTACGATTGTATAAAATTTTTCACCGTGCGTGCCCCATTGAACTATAAATAACTGGAAGGTTAAGTCAGGAGGGAAGTTGAAGCCGTGCTTGAAGCTTTTTTTGTAGGTAGACCCAGTCCTTTTTAAATTTTTTTTTCAAAATATGCATATTTTTTGATCAGAAAATTCTTGCCCCAAAATATTAGTTATACCACCGA